GAGCGCTCGCCTTGAGCTGAAGAGCTGAGGGACAGCGCCCAAGCCCAGAGTTCAAGCCCCACGACCGACAAAAAAAAAGAAAATTACTTCCTATTCACCAGAGAATTTTTAATGGTATTTGTACACTCCTGTGACATCCCTGTCTTTTAAAAGGGACATAAAATTCTACAGAATTTTTAGTACTTCAGTATATAAAATACAAGAATTAATAACCTGTGTATAAAGAACCTTTAGGGCTTTTCCTATTTTCTGAATAACTAAGGGAATTTTGGCAAGTCATTTAAACTCTTAACTTTCACATCATCAAAAAGTAGCAGTCTTTAGTGTAAATATTCAGAAATCGAACCTGAGGCCTCAAACATACTATGCAAGTGTTCTACCACTTAACTACAGCCCCTAGGTAGTCTCTTGAAAATTTCATAATTCTCTATAGTCTAGGAGTGCTTGGGAGTGTTACCAAGGAAAAGTCTTGTAGCCGAGCACCAGTGGATCACGCCTGTAATCCTAGCTACTCAGGAAGCTGAGATCTGAGGATCTCGGATCAAAACCAGTCCAGGCAGGAAAAGTCCGTGAAACTCTTATCTCCAATAAACCACCAGAAAAGTGGAAGTGGCGCTGTAGCTCAAGTGGTAGAGCGCTAGCCTTGAGCTGAAGAGCTGAGGGACAGTGCAGTTTCCTAACAATTAGATTGAGAATCACTAATAGGTCAGCAATGGAAAAATCAAGGAAGCCATGTTTTACAGTTAATAACAATTTTGGTCTCTGGATTTATTCTGCATCATGATAATGCACTATTTAGGATTAACTATTTTTTTAACTATTAACTATTAGGATTAACTGTTTTTTTTCTTTTCATCAAAATATCTATAAAATTTATTCTTGGCTATGCTTACCTTAATCTAGAAGTTATATTTTTTTAACCAGATGTAAATCAGTGGTTGGTTGGTAGCATCCATTTAAAATGAAATAGTACTTTTGTATATTTGCTTTGTTTGATCATTCTTCATTAGATTTTCTAAGTATTGATAAAAGTGTTTCCATGGAAGGATGTTTTAATTTCCACTTTTATTATCCCTTCAACCAACAATATAATAATCGGCAGAATGGTTGATAAGGGAGTGGCTGAAGAAAAGGCTGATAACCATCTGTCTCAACATTTTCAAGCAGAATGTAGAAGGACTTCTTCCAATACAATTATTTCCTAATCCTTGAGTTGATAAATTTAAGAAATATTGTAGGAAATCAAAGAAAATTTAATATAATTAAGTACAAATAGTACTTATTTTTTTAAGAGACAGGTTTTAATGTATTACCAGGCAACAATCTCCAGGCTTGAGCAATTCTCCTGTAAGCCTTCCTAGTAGCTGAGACTCTAAGCATGCATCGTGTTACACAGCACTTTATTTATTTATTTTGTGTATCTATTGCCAGTACCCTGGTTTGAACTCAGGGCCTCACATTTGCTTACACCTGGTTCTACTCCATTCACAATTGGGCTTTTGTTTTGTTTTGTCAGTTGTGGAACTTGAACTTGAGCTCTTTATGCTCAAGACTTTGAGCCACTTTGAGCCACAGCTCCACTTCAGTTTTTGAGCAGTTAATTGGAGATAAGAATCTCACAGGGACTTTTTCTGCTTGGGCTGTCTTTGAATTTCAATCCTCAGATTTCAGCTTCCAGAGTAGCTATGATTACAGGCATGAGCCACCAGTGCCTAGCCACAAGTGGGCTTTTTTTTTTTTTTTAATGCAGGCTGACTTTGAACTGTGATCCTCATGATCTCAGTCTCTTAAATTCAGCCAAGATTATGGGCATGAGCCACTAGAGAGTGGTCTAACATACAATTCTCTCTTGCCCCCTCCCCACCCACCATTTTTTGTGTGCTTGTCCTGGGGCTTGAACCCAGTCTGGGTCCTGTCCCTGAGTATTTTTTGCCCAAGGCTAATGCTCTACCACTTGAGTCACGGATCCACTTTGGTTTTCTGGTGGTTAATTGGAGGTAAGAGTCTCACAGACATTCCTGCCTGGGCTGGCTTTGAACTATGATCCTCAGATCTCAGCTTTCTGGGAAGCTAAGATTACAGGCAGAGTATTGGCACCTAGTATAAAACTGGTCATAAAGCTGGTACTTCATTCTTTTTAAAATTTTTTTTAAATTTATTGGGAAAATACCATATAGAGGGGTTACAATTACATGAGCAAGGTAATGAGTACATTTCTTATCAAGCATTGTTGCCTCCTCTGTTTCCCCTTCCCATCCCTTCCCATCTCCACCCCCTACCCCCCACCCCTGTGTTACTTCATTCTTAATAGGATCTGCAGGAATTTATGTGCTATAGTTTTATTTTATTTATTTATTTATTTTGGTCCCATCCTGGGGCCTGAACTCTGGGCCTGGGCGCTGTCCCTCAGCTCTTCAGCTCAAGGCTAGTACTCTACTACTTGAGCCACAGCGCCACTTCCGGCTTTTTTCTTTTTGCTTATGTGGTGCTGAGGATGAGGAATCAAACCCAGGGCCTCATGCATGCACGGCAAGCGCTCTACCACTGAGCTACCTTCCCAGCTATAGTTATATTTTAGAAATCCACACAAAGGGCTCGGAAGGTGGCTCAGTGGTAGAGTGCTTGCCTTGTATGCATGAGGCCCTGGGTTCAATTCCTCAGCACCAAATAAGTAGAAAAAGCTGGAAGTGGTACTGTGGCTTAAGTGGTAGAGCACTAGCCTTGAGATGAAGAGCTGAAGGACAATGCCCAGACCCAGAGTTCAGGCCCCATGACTGGCAGAAAAAAAAGAGAGAAAGAGAAATCCACACAAACCAGGCACTAGTGGCTCACATTTGTAAACCTAGCTACTCAGGAGGTTGAGATCTGAGTGTAACAATTCAACGCCAGTGGAGGCAGGTAAGTCTGTGAGACTCTTAACCACTAGAAAAACCAGAAGTAGGGGCTGGGAAGGTGGCTCAGTGGTAGAGCGCTTGCCTTGCATGCCTGAGGCCCTGGGTTCGATTTCTCAGCACCACATAAGTAGCACTGTGGCTCAAAGTGGTAGAACACTACTAGAACACTAATAGCCTTGAGCAAAAAGCTCAGGGACAGCACTGAGTTCAAGCCAAAAAAGGAAGGAAGGAAGAAGTCCAACAAAATTAATTTTATTTCAAGGTCAAAATATGTTTCCATGACAGTTGTTAGTCTTAGGTTGGAATGTCCAAAGACATAGGTACCAGTTGTGTGAGTTTAGAGCCATTTCACCCATCAAAGCAGGGGTAACTTCCAACCTCACAGAACTTAATCAAAACTTACAATCAGAGCATATTTAAAATTCAGTTCAGTCTACATGGAAAATTATTCTCTTAAATTTGGCAAGACAACAGCTACCCAGACTAGATATACTAGGTATACTAGATATCCAGATTTTTTTTTTTCTCATCCTGGGGCTTGAACTCTGGGCCTGGACACTATCTCTGAGTCCCTTTCCCACTCTACCACTGGAGCCACAGTTCCACTTCTGGCTTTTTCTTTGATTAGTTGGAGATAAGAATCCCACAGACTTACCTACCCAAGCTGGCTTTGAACCACAATCCTCAGATCTCAGCCTCCTAAGTAGCTCAGACTACAGCTAGGCTTACTGTGCCTCGCTCAAGAAGTGTTAATCTGTTCCAGATCTGATATGATAAAACTATAAATGTTAATATACTTTTGCTGTACTTCAGATGGTAAACTGTGAACAACCGTCACTAGGCAAGTGCATTGATTTATTGACAGTCTTAGATCTTTTACTAACAAAGGTAAGCATTTATGAAATGGTTTGTAGGGTAAAAGTGTATAGTCAAAGGAAAAAACTCCTGGTTTACATGGTTGTTTTTTTCAGATCTCTGCTCTTAGCTTTAGCATTGAAATGCTTCAGCCATTATTAGCCATCGCTGACTCCACCTGTTTGGCCTCTCTTAAGACACAATCACTGAATAAACACTAATCTAGAAGTCTGTTGGCTTGTTTCCCCCCCCCACACACACACACACTTGTTCTTTACTATCTTTTATTCCTGTCTCCCAGGGTCACTATGCTGAAACTGCTTTCAACCGAGTTTTGCCAGGGCCTATTGCACCGGAGAGCAGCAAGAAGCGGGCTCGTAGGACACGACCAGACCTTTCTAAGATGATGGCCCTGATGCAGGGTGGAAGCACTGGGTCCCTATCTCTGCATAATACCTTCCAGCACAGCAGCAGTGGCTTACAGTCTGTGTCTCCTCTGGGTCACAGCAGTGCCACTTCTGCATCTTTGCCTTTTATGCCGTTTGTGATGGGCGGTACAGCATCATCCCCCCATGTAGACTCCAGCACCATGCTTCATCACCACCACCACCACCACCACCACCCCCATCCCCACCATCACCACCATCACCATCCAGGTTTGAGAGCCACTGGCTACCCATCTTCACCAGTAACTACCACCTCTGGTACTGCCTTTCGGTTACCACCACTACAACCTGAAGAAGAGGATGAGGATGAGGATGAAGATGATGATGATTTATCTCAGGGCTATGATAGCTCAGAAAGAGACTTTTCACTCATTGATGATCCTATGATGCCAGCCAACTCAGACTCCAGTGAAGATGCTGATGACTGAAGCCCCAGCATAGTCCCCCTTGCTTGAGTGGCTGCTGAATTTTCACTTACTCTGGCCCTTGGACTACAGAAAAGCGGGAGGGGCAGGGGAGATATGGGAAAACCCAAGACTCCAAGAGGTGAAAAGGAAAAAACTTGTACCTGATTGCTCCTAATTTTGAGAGGATTGGGTGGTCAGGGGAACTCCTAAAATAATACATGACCACTTCCTCATTTCTGGGGAAGAAAAGGAGACTAGAGCAGCTGGTGTGCTCACCCCTCCCCAGACACCTCTATTAACCACAGACTATGTAGCGCTGGCCCTAGCCACTGGCAGAGCCTGTTCCTGGCGAACTGTGGACACAGCTGGAGGGTCAGGAACTGTTACCTTCCTTCCCCTTGGCATTAATAAATTTAAGTTAATCCTTTTCCATTCTTCCCTTGTTCTATAAGTGGTAAAAAAAAAAAACAGCAACAGAAGTATTAGTTTTAAGCATGATGGATATTTTTAACATCACTTAAGTTCTATACTGTTTTTAAGTTACCTTGGGTAGAAGAGACAAGTCATTTGTACTTGTATAAACGGTACATATAAATGTATATAAATGTATTCGCTGAAGCCAAAAGGGAATGGTTTAAGGCAAATAATAGGAAAAGTGTTCGGGTCCAAGTTTTTCAAACAGACGAGAATTTCAAGAATATGCATATTTTGTTTCAAACTAAAATAATGGAGCTTGAGGAAAAGCAATTGAATAGTGTCACTTTTCTTGCACTTGGGTGCAGAAGGGGTTCTGATCAAGGATGTTTTCACGAATTGGGCGGGATTGGGGTTTTTGGAGCCCCCCCCCCCAAGCCATCTGTTTCTTCTAATACCATTCTACCATCCTATCGTTCGGATGAAGCATGGGCATTTTATTTCACTTTCTGTGGCTAAGTCTATCACCATGTCCCAGTGGCCACCTGGAGCACTTAATCCAGGCTAAGCAGTGTAGAGTTTGTTTTCCCACCGTTCCTTGGCGGCACGCACCCGGTGCCCCTACAGCACGCCGAGTCCCGCTGTTTCCGCTTCTCGGCTGGGGTGGGCCTCACCGCGCGCGGCTTGCAAAGGGCGGGGCGAGCGCCTCCGGCGCCCACCTCCCGCTCCGCCGTAAGACGACGGTAGGCGTACAGTTCTTCGGAAGCCGCGGCGGGCTTGGGCGGGGGGCGGGGCCGGGCGGCACGTGACGACGTCGGCTCGCGCGCGGCGGGGCTAAGTTGACGGGATGCCCCGCGAAAATCGGTTCTTTCTGCCTAGCACATTTTATTCATTTCTTTACTTTTCTCTCTCTGTGTCTCTCTCTCTTTATGTCTATCTCTCTTTCTCTCTCTGCCCACCTCCACGCTACGGAGAAAGGATTTAAAACATGTACAGCGCTGACGCTGTCGGGACCCGGAAGCGGAAAGGGCATCTGTGAAGTCGATACTTCCGGGTCACTGAGCGAGTGCGGGATTCCGGGGCCGAGAGCGGGTGGCGGAGCTGGGACCTCTCGTGATTCTCGGAACCCGAAGAGAAGCGGTGTCCGGGGCTATGGCTGTGACTCTGGACAAAGATGCTTATTATCGGCGAGTTAAGAGACTGTACAGTAATTGGCGGGTAAGGATGATCCGTAATTTCCCCCAAGGAGCCCCTCGTAGCCATCCCATAATAATCCATGTTTCTCGGCGCCCTTTTCCCCCCTTTTGGTCAGGGATTCCCGGGTTCAGTCACGCGCCTTTTTCTTTGCCATGGAATCATTCTCCGCAGGCGACTACGGATGTTGCCTTGTAACTGGGACCCCCCCCCCAATCTCTGCCCTGAGGCCACCACCATCTTCCCCCGGTGCCAGCCCCGTTCCTGCATTACAAGCTCTCTCTCGTAGTTTCTTCCCGCCCTACGAGAGGCAACCTCTTTTCCCTCACTCGGTCCTGCCCCTCCTGCAGGGTTCACAGGCGCCCACGCAGTTGCTCTGGCCCTCTAGAATCACAATTTTCCACCCCGTGTCCCGCCACAATTCTAACTGCTCTCGTTCAGAAGAGATGGAGGGGCAAGGGTAGTGGTCAGGCTTCTCACGTTTCCCATTTGAGAGGCTTGCTGGTGTTTGAAAACATTGCTCCTGCTTAGTGGTTCCATGCTCTAGGCCCCGCAGTGAGTAGCAAGTCCTCACGCTGAAAACCCGCAGGCATTAGTAACAGTTGTTTGTTTGTTGTTTCAAAGATAATGCCTAAAACATTCGTTTCCTTGTTGGCACGTGTTCAGAAAAAGCTGTGGAAGTTCCTAGTCTTTGAAAGCCTGGGTAGTTTTGTTGTTTTAAAAGTGCACATAATTTAAACTAGTATTTACAGTAGTTCTTAGTTGAACAAACGATTGCTTGCATTCTGTGGTGCAGCCTGAGCTGTGTAAATGTCTGTGTATGTATACATATATATATATATATATATATGTATATATATATAGTATGTAAGTATGATAAAGACTTGGAAGCTGGAAATGTTTTGACAAAAATAATCAACTCTTGATTTTAACGTTGTAAATTATCTTTCAAATTATTAGTGTACTGAAGGCAAGCAATAAGAGTCGGTTGTTTTCCTGCCATATTTCAACTTTTGAAGCTAAATGTATTAAACAATTTAAAATAGATTCTTTCACTTTATTAAAATTCAGACAAGAACTTTATGCTGATGAATGGTAATTTTGTTTAAATTTTTTTATTCATTTCTACCAAGAGACTCCATCACTATCACACTTATTTGTTTCCCCTTTTTTATTTTTGCCAGTCCTGGGGCTTGAACTCAGGACCTGGGCACTGTCCTTGGCTTTTTTTGCTCAAGTTTAGCACAATACCACTTGAGCCACAGCGGCATTTCCAGCTTTTTCTTTTAATGTGGTACTGAGGAATCGAACCCAGGGCTTCATGCATGCTAAGCAAGCAGCTCTACTACTAAACCACATTCCAGCCCACACTTATATTTGAAGAATATGTAGAAGAAACTTTTTTTTCTAATATCTTGTGTGTGTGTGTGTGCGTGCGTATATGCCCCAACCTAGAAGTTAGACTTAGGGCCCCTCACTATCCCTTTTGCTTTTTCACTCAAAGATGGCACTTTACCACTTGAGCTACACATTCATTTCTGGCTTTTTGGTGGTTAATTGGAGATAAGAATCTCAAGGACAGGGCTGGGAAGGTGGCTTAGTGGTAAAGTGCTTGCTTTGCATGCATGAGACCCTAAGTTTGATTCCTCAGCACCACAGAAGCAGAAAATGCAGAAGTGGCCCTGTGGCTCAAGTGGTAGAACACTCGCATTGAGCTGAAGAGCTGAGGGACAGCATCCAGGCCCAGAGTTCAGGCCCTACAACCTACCCAAAAAAAAGCATCTCAAGGACTTTTCTGTCCAGGTTGGCAGTCCTCAAATCTCAGTCTCCTGAGTAGCTAGGACTAACAGCCATGAGCCCCCAGCACCCAAGATCTTCTGATGGTTAATACATCTTTAGATACTACTAATAATCAGAAGCCCTTTCTCCCACCATAAACCCTGAAATTATATACCTTTGAGGTTGTTTGCAGTCCCAGTAATTCAGAGTTCAAGTTATTTTAAGGCTATATCAAATAAAATTTTTTATTATAAATTACATTTTTCATAACTTACGTCCTAAAACAATTGCAATATTGCACACTTACATGAAGCCTTTTCATTCCTTGCTATCAGCCTTTTTATTCTTTGTTCTGAATATCTTGATGGATTAGTTCAGTATACCCTCTCCCTCAAACATATCAAATAATAGTAATACAGTACAAATGTGTAAAACTAAATGTAAGTGCTTTATAAATAGTTGTTTCATTGTTTAAAAAAATCAGGAGAGCCGGGCACCTGTGGCTCACGCCTGTAATCCTAGCTACTCAGGAGGCTGAGATCTGAGGATCTCGGTTCAAAGCCAGCCCGGGCAGGAAAAACTGTGAGACTCCTATCTCCAATAAACTACTTAAAAAACCAGAAGTGGCCCTGTAGCTCAAGTGATAGAGCGCTCTCCTTGAGCTGAAGAGCTGAGGGACAGCACCCAGGCCCAGAGTTCTAATCCCGCGACCGACAAAAAAAAAAAAAAAAAAGGAGAAAATGTTTTCATGATCAGAACAGATGTCATCCTTTTTCCCTTAAATATTTTCAATCCACAGATGAGGAATTCATTTAAGAGATCGGAAAATAAGACTGATGATTAAATTGAAATAGTGTGTTAGGGAGTGCAATTCAGTGCTAATGTGCTTGCCAAGTGTGTGTGAGGCCCTGGGTTGGATCCCCAACCCCCCCCTCATCTCCCCCCCCCCCACACACACACATACACACCACCACCAAACAGCACATTGAACAGATCTCCTTAGTGACTCTCCTATTGTTTTCTAATTCTTTTTGGACATTTGAGTCTACACCAGTCCTACCTTTTGTGTTTTAAGTTAGACCTGCTAAGAGCAGAAAGGAATTACAACTCCTATTTCTGCTTTAAGTGGTGCATCATGAAAGTAGGCTGTAAGTTTCTCCCATATCCTTGTATTCACTGGTTCCTTATTCAAGGATTTCCAGCCTTTATGGATTGTGATTATTTTTAGCTAATATAATATGATTTATGTCATCCAGTGGATGAAACAGTTTACTTATCATCCTGGGGTGGGTTTCAGAAACTTGGAGAGAGAGTTACAATGTTCAGGCATATCTATCATATAAGACCTATTCTTTACCTTTAGTACATCCTGTGGGAGGACCTTGAATAAGGTCTGCCCTTTATCACTTAAAATTTTACTAAGTGCCAGAATTGCATCTGTTTTGAAGAGAATTTGCTATAGTAATCCATTGCATTCATTCATGTAATTCTTTTTTGTCAGCATTAGGATAGTGGGTGGCTATGATCCCAAAAAGGAAGTTTGCTAGTGAAAACTAGTAAGATACAGTGTGTCAATTCTTCTGACAGTTGCTTTGCTGATTTTCATTTTAGCTTAGTTTCTCACTTAGGTTTTTCCTGTATTACTTTCAGAATAGCAGTGAATTACTTCTACTTATCTTATTTTTTGTTTGTTTGCCATCATTCAGATTTGAACTCAAGACCTTGTGT